ATTATAGTTTTAGTCGACTTAATTATAACTACTCATTATTGATAAATAAAGTTTAACTTAAATATTACCACCTTTATGTGGCTCCTTAATTTAATATATATATTGCTGAACAATTTTTTGCTAATTAACGGCTAATAAAGAAAAACAAAATAGATACTGCAGATTGGGTACCATTTAAAAGTTAATTCTTTTTTTTTATTTTACACCATATATTTTATTTTTTTATTTATTTGAAGACATTCCGATGTTTATATCTCTCCGGTTATGGAAAAAGATCCGATTTATTAGATTTCATTGATTTTAAACACAACCGAACCGATACTGCTCCATAATATCTCATTGTTCAGTCAGTCACTCTTTTAAATAAAGCTTAATTTAAACCAAGAAATCCACCACGAAAAGAAATCAACAGTATTCTCTTTGACAGCTCCCTCTTCATTCGGGTTAGTTTAATCTTGTTCACCCTTCTCAGATTTATTGTATTAGAGAAAAATAAATATGGGGGTAACACGTACCGACGTACGTATACCTTTATATTGTTTGAGATGCAAACATATTTAAATGGACTCATCTTCTTGGCATATTCTCCATGGAAGTTGATGCCATAATTTTCAGAAAATTGTTGTTTCTAGCCAACAAGTTAAACCATTTCACCTTTTTATGGAAAAAAGTTGGTCGCCATTATTGTTCTTTTGGTTTTCGAATAGTACTATACATATATGTATATATATATATATATATATATATATATATTATTCTTTGATTTATTGAACATGGTCAAAGTTTGATCTCAACCAGGTCATTCCCGGTCTAATCAAGTTCACTAATTATTCACTAATTGTTTGACCCAATAATTACATCTTTTGTCTTTATTTTCTTCATGAAAAAGGTCTGTGGGTCTCTTTGCCTCGTAACCAAAACAAAACATGTTTCTTTTCGAGTTTCATAGTCCTACGAATTAGATTTTAAATGAAATTCAGTGGAAAATTTTGTTGGTTCAGTTTTCTATAGGAAAAAAACTCAAAGTTCCTGCAGGGAGAGCATAGATGGCGGCGCACAGCGGCAGACATGGTGGGAATGTGGGAGAAAATCAAACAAGATGACCGCACTCGTAGTGGACGATAACATGGTCAACCGAACGATTCACCACCGGCTTTTGGACAACCTCGGCTTCGAGAATGTAGCCGTTGGCAACGGGAAAGAACCGTTGATATCCACTGTTCTGGAAAGACGTTCGACCTCATCTTAATGGACATGGATATGCCTATCATGAATGGCATTGAGGTACGATATAACTATTTCTTCACATTTATGTATGTTTTAAATGTTGGTGTTGATTTTGATTCGAAATGTGACAGGCAACGAGGAAGCTTCGTGAAATGGGGATTGGGAGCATGATCGCCGGCGTGTCGACGCGATCAGTGGAAGAAGAAATACGAGAATTCATTGAGGCTGGTCTAGATGATTACCAGGGGAAGCCATTGACAATGTCTAAGCTTATTTCTATTATCCATAAGATCAATTGATATTAGAATGACCAAAGGAATAACTCCCATAGCTTTTAGTTTTTTGTGTGATCAAAGGAAGCTAACCCTACCTTTCTTTCTTTTCTTCCTCTACTACAGTTGTTTCTATTGTAACCAAGTCTTAGGTAAAGGTAAATATATACTTATAGGCTTTTGTGTTGAATCATCTCTTAAAGCACATTCTTTTTTACTATTAAACTATTAGAATTTACCGGAAAACTCCATGAGTAAACATCCGATGGAAAAGATGAAGACAAATGCATATAAATAGGTGAGAGGATGGGCACTCCCCACTCGCGTGATGTTTCGTTTCATGTCGTTTATTATAGAAATGAAAAGTGTATGTTACCCTTGACTGAAATTTAGTGGAAAGATTCAACCTTATAAAGAATCTTCTATTTACCTTAATAATTCCTTGTAGGAGAGAAGGAATTTTTCAAAACGTTGCTTTGTTTTGATGTTGAAAAGAGAGGAGTTGGTTTGATCTTACGTTTTGTTAAGAAGTAGATGCATGCATTCATATATTTAAAAAGATTATAGCTAAAGGAGTAGTAATGTGTTCGATATTATTATTTCTAAAGGAGTTTTGTCATTTGGAGTAGTGTCTTAAATCCCGAGATATACATGTAAGAGTCATGTAGGTAATTAGATTCGAACTCATGACATTTAACATAAAGGAAATTAATTAGTTTCAGTGATATATATCTATTCGTGGAATATTTTTATACATAAAGTTACGAGTTTAACCTTTTTATTATTTTCTGCCATTAATTATATTATAATATATATATATATAATTTAAGTATAATGTCAAAAATGTTATTAATATTTAATTAAATAGTTATTTTGATTTTATTATTTTTATGACTATTTTAGCATCCAATATTTTATTTTATAATAAAAGGCCTTAACGCTAGATCAACTAATAACTTTGACCTTTTTTTTTTAGCATTTTGACCTTTAACGTTTTATTCTAAGGAAAAAATTAATATTTTAGAGCGTTACCGTTTGTTGGCTTTCATATATTTTTATCTTGAAATAAAACGTTAAGAGTAAAAATACTCTAAAAAGGAATAATAACAAAAATAACCGTTTAATCAAATATTAAAAAATATAGCATTATACTTATAATACCTACTAGTTAGGGCGCCCCACCTTCCCTTCTACGTGCCTAAGTTCAATCTCCCTTGACCTTAATCGTCTTCAAATTATTTTCTCCAAATCAAATGGTTATATGTGTAATCATATGATTAAATAAAAGCCAACGAGTGTTGGCACAAGTGGTTGGGATTCAAAAATTTTGCCTGAAGTCGGTAGTGTTCATGTCTGAAACATGGTGTTCTTTTTTTACTCTATTTGTCCAACAAAATCATAATTTTCTTTCGAGATCAGCTTAACTACTTGTTTTCTCTTGATTCATATGACACGATAAAACATCAACCGCCAATTGATCTCACTTGCTCTTACTCAATTTATTTGGGATATAATTTTGATTAATTTGCTTTGTTTCACAGATTTGGAATTATACTACTGGAGCCATATTGGTTGGTTTTAATGATCAAATGAAGATAATTAAACCCAAAATGGTAAATGATGGATTTGGCTTTAATAATAAAAAAAAAAGAAAAAAAATTGATTAGCTTTCTCTTCCTTGTTCCATAAATTGGTGGGCGGTGGCGGCGATGTGGTTGCTAGGGCCACCGGAGGATAAAAGGAGCTCTGCCCTGAATTGTCATCCAGCCCTCAATCACCTATTTTCGTGATTCCATTTAAATTGTCTAATTACTTTTCTAAAAAAATTATACTTAACATTACATTTAAATATTAACACCAAAAAATTCCCCGCACAACTATCAAACAAAACCGAACCCAACTAGTAACCACAACTCACCACTAGCAAGCCATCATAGACTCGCTAATACCCCATTGAACAAACCAACAAGTACCTTACCTCACTATTACCCTCCCCTAACATTTCTCGTTTCCCGAACAAATGCATATGGAGGCACCACCATCAACAAACATGCACTCAGCCAGCCCTTTTCCATCTGAACCGATGCACACCTGAAGCACCACCACCAACCACCAAACGAGGCCTATAAAAAAATCATCGTCAGCAGCTAGAACCATCCAAGTAAGAAACTGAAGAGCAAAATTTAAAAAGGAAGTTAGAGAAGAGTAGGAATGATCATTTACCCATATCTGTTCACAGATTTAATTAACGGTCCAAACTCTTGATGTAACAAAACTTTCTATTCCAGCAAATGATCAACAATAGGGAGAATCAAAGAATGAGCCCAAATTGAAGCCACAAATTCATTGAACCAATTGTGTATTTCTTCTGGCATCTAAAGGAGTTTGGGGCAGCTAGTTTCAACATGCCCTATCATCCTGCATAAATAAACAAACCATAGGGGGTCTGTTCATAACTAAACGATACTTCAAAACCCCATCCCGTTCTTCAAATCATTTTCATTCCTCAAGGGTTGCCTTATATCTTGTCTAGGCGTGTAAATGAGTGAGAATTGAACGAACGAGATTGTGTTTGTGTTCGTTTATTTATTTTTTAAAGTGTTCATGTTTGGTATGTGTCCGTTTAAATTTTTAATATGATGTATGTGTTCATTTATTTATTTTTAAAAGTGTTCGTGTTTGGTTCGTTTAACATTAACAAACAAATTTGTTTAACGTTCTTTTAATTTTCAGTAGCCAACACTCTTTTGTTATTGTTTTACTTGCGAATCAAAGAAAAAGGATTAAATAATGTCACTAATCCTTAAATTTTTTATATTTCACAGTTTAAACTCTAAAAATTATCTTATGTTCAATTTAGTCCTTATATTTATCAATATTTAAAATATAAAAAGTTAAAAAAATGAGAATTAGATAATCGAGTTTATAAATGAGCCAATAAACAAACTTATTCGTGAACATAAGCGAAACTGAATACACATGTTTGTATTCATTGTTTATTAAATAAATATAAAAAATTTATATATACTATTTATTTAACTTAATAAATGAAGATAAACCAATATGTTCATTTACACCTCGAATCTAGTATAATCTTGCCGTATGCACATAAAATTGCTCAAAAAGTTCTGTGGCGGCCCCTAACATCGTAATCTAAAAAAATTCCCATAACATTACCCAGGTTCATCGCTAAATTGAATGCATTTCACATTAATACCACGTTTGGTAAGAATATTATTTAGGGTAAACTATGCAAATAGTCACTAATATTTGAGTAAATTTTTATTTTCACCACTGATATTTCAAAAGCCACAAATTAATCACTAACATTATCGTTTGTTACAAATTGATCGCTCGACGCTACCGGCTATTACTGTAAGTAACGGAAAGCTAACATAGAATGTTAACTACTGATTTAATACTTTTGACCATTATTTTGACATACTCTTCTCTTTCATCTCCATACTTCTTTTTAACTCAAAATCCACCATTTTTTTTTCTTTTCTTCTTCAATCTTTATGCTCACGCTATAGGATAAACAAAAAAAAAGTTGTCCATCCCACAACTCTCTTTGTCTCGTGCAAACCTCCCAACTACTCAATTTCTTTCTTCATTCAAAAACCGATACTGAACTAACACAAGGATTTAATGCCGAAGCGAAGAAAATCAGACGAAGGGGAAACATCAACGGCGGACAAGGTAGTGACCGTACTTTCATCAGTAGAGAAAGATACGCCCTTAAAGAAACCAACGCATATAAAGAAGGGGGAGAACAAAGACGATCTGGTGGATGAAAGTCCTTTGAGATCTATATTTTGTTTAAAAAGGATCGTCGACATGAAGCGCGTTGAGGAGCCTGAGGATTGCTTTATTCTTGATCTTAACTCTTTCAATCTCGATGACGTTGCGAAGCTCTCCGCCGCCAATGACAGTGATGTTGATAAAGAACTCTCTGTAGTCGCCGAGCGTGGCCAGGTTTTTGTTATTTAAACTCAATTTTTTGCTAATATATTTGCCGAGGAAATTCACACTTTTAATTAAAAAATAAAACTTGCTCGGGACTGTACCAAAGGCTTCAAAATTAGTTTAATTTTGACACTGAAGGAATCAAAATAGAGTTTTGATTTAACTTCAATTCATTGTATAGAGGAAATTCATAGTTTTTAGACTTGAATTGAACAAGAAGTTCAAAATTAGTTTAATTTAGTTCTCTGGGTAGTGTTATTTTCCTGGAAATTGTACCAAAAAGCTATGATCTTTAGTTTTTTTGTTATTTTAACTTTGTTCTTGATGTTGTTTTATGAGGCCTGCAGAGATTATCCACATTCAAGGCATCTTTGTTTCTAGAGATTATCCACGTTCAATAGAAATCAGCTGTTAACACGCCATGTCAAAATGAAAATTGAAGAAGATTGAAGAAGAAAGACAAATGAAAGATTTTGAAAGAAGTATAGAGATGAGAGAGTGGAGATGGAAGAGAAAGGTAGGTCAAAACAACAGTTAACTTGCTTTTGTCACAGGGTCATTAACGTTGAGGGATCAATTTATAACAAACGATAATATTAGTGACTGATTTGTAACTTTTAAAACACTAGTGATAGAAATAAAAATTTACTCAAATATTAATGACTAATTACGTAGTTTACCCTATTATTTATTACTTATACTTGAGTACATTTCAATACATTAATTAGCGATAAATTATTTTTATGATTTTTTGATCACTCTACTTAATTCAAATAAAATAAGATAAAAATTTATAAAGTGATTTCAGCTAAAAGAATTTTTGTCCTTATAAATTATGAGTTTATTTGGAAGACTCTATTTGAATATAAGTCATGAGTCTATATAATATACGTGTGTTGTCAATAATTAAGAAATATTTTAAAAATATATTAATTTATAACCATTCGAGACTAGTAACAAAATTGAAGAAATAAATATTATTTATTTTTAATATATATTACTTGTGAGTGCCCTACATATCGGATGATGAGTTTGATGTTGAGTTACATCTCCAATCAATTGATATTGACTTTAAATGTATCTTTGAGCTTGAAATCATTATATATAATTATATAATAATTTGAAAGTACAAAACGATCCAAATCAAATTCGGGCGATTTTATCGAAATTTATCGATCTAGCATATTTTCGGGTGATATGTGCCTTCGCGAGGTTTGTCCGAGCTGATACTACATAAGGAAAGACACATATGACATATCACGACTTAATTGAAACTGTGACATATATTGACAAGGCACGGATCGTCATCCGCACCTTAGCATTTAAAAAAAATATGCTTTAAAAAATTAAAAAAATACAACTATAGGGACTAACATCATAATTTAATACATATTAATTTCATGAATTGAAGAGTTTAATGGGATTAATTTATATAGACATATTGGAGTGTTTATGTTATATTTTTTTGATAATGTGTATAAAAGTTCAAATGTATATTTTTTGATAATGTGTTTAGCTTATGTTTTCATGAGTTGTCTTTTATCGTTTTCATTACAATTTTTTTTACAATTATATACATATAATTTAATAAGAAGTTAATAAATTATTATTTGTTCAACTTTTTAGTTACCTCAAATCAATCCAAAAAATAAAAGTAAAAAAATAATTGGGTTAAGGTAGAAAAGGTGTTTTTTTTGCGTATAAAGGTGTGCAAAATCGGACAGTTCTTGGTTTAATTTACTTAATTTCCTTCTTGGTGTTCTATATGCTAAAATTTTGTAATTTTCTCTATTAAATTGGTACCATTTTTTTTTATTAATCTAAGTTGGTACCGTTTACTTCTAAATATTAACGCAATACATGAAATTGAATTATACTGTACCAACTTTCATTTATGGTTGTCATAATTGGATGGTTTTTTTCCCTCTTGTTTCAGAATTGGATGGTTGTCATTTCCTCATGTTCGTAGCTGAACCAGTTTTTGTATAATTCAAATCTTTATAGCTAATACAGAGATGGTAATAGGGAGAGCATGTGTAGATCTTTGTTCATGTTAGCATGAAAACATCTTGATGATAATTTGTTCATGTTTTGCATTTGAAAGAGAGATCATACCCCAATTATTTTCACTTTTTATTTTTTGGATTGATATAAAATAACTTAAAAATTAAATAAATAATAATTTGTTAATTTCTTATTACATTCATATGCATATAATTAAAATAAAAATATAATGAAAACGATCGAAGATAATTCATGACTTAAATACATTGTCAAGAAATACACCTTTTAGCTTTTATCCCACATTATCAAGAAACATAACATAAACACTTCAATATATCTATATAAACTAACCCCATTAAATATACTTCAACTCATGAAACTAATATGTATTATAATTACGATGTTAATCCTTATAGATTTCATTTTTATTTAAATATTAAGGCGCGGACCTCAATTTCCTGTGTTCAGAGAGTATGCCACAATGTGAAGGGACAGTCCCTATAATTAAGGGACTGCTTGTATCTTATCCGTCCACCATCCTAACTGCCCCGCCCCCACAATTACCTACACATATTTGAAAATAATGATGATGAAATAAATTTTAAATTTTTTTATTTAAATAGAATCGGTTAGTTTTATTTAAAAGAAGATAAAATAGTTAAAATTATAATAAATATTTAATATAAATTAAATACATAATTTGTTATAATTGTTTCTTATAAAATAATATTTTAATTAGTACATATCATAATAAACCATAAATACATACTAAAACATATATTTTATAAACCCTAAAAGTTTTGTTTTATAAGAGATGTCTTTCTATTTTATAAATAAAACAAGGATAAACTACACGTTTAATATCTAAACTATTATTTTTATTCTATTGTGATACTTAATTTTTTTTTTTTCAAAATCATATCTAACGTTTAGTTTAGATTTTATTTTGATATATGTCCATTTAAAATTTAACAGTAATGTTAACTTATCACCATAAGATAATATCACGTCATCGTTGAAAAAATATCACATTAATAGTTCAATTGATTTTTTAACTGTGAGATCAAATTTAAACTAAACGTTAAGTATGATTTAAGAAAAATAAAGTTTAAATATCCAAAAATAATAATTTATATACTAAATAGAGGTGGGTATACGGCTACCCGTCCGTTTAGCCTGCGGGTTTTGACGGTGCGAGTTTAAACGGAGTGGTTTGAAAAACCCACAATTATAAACAGTTTTGAATTTTAAAGCTCATAGCCCGTCCATTTAACTCGCGGGTTAAACAGACTTACCCGCGACCAGTTAAATAAAAAAAATTAAATGTTTTAAATGTAATAAAAAATAATGTTATAATTTGATACACCTTTAAAAATGATCTAGTAACTTGAAAAGGAAGGTAGCACCGTCAAAAAAATAAATAATATTTAAATTTTATTTTAAATAGCTGAAAATGATTATAAAATAATATTTTTTAATTTTTAATCATTAATATATATATATATAACGATATAATTACTTTAACTCAAATTTAAAAAAAATATTCACTTATATCACCAAATTGAAAAACAAATAAAATATGAAGACACATAAGTGTCTGGAAGCAAAAATTTAAACAGAAAAATTCAACAAAATTAAACATTATACCAATATAACAAATTTTCTTTTATAAAAGTCTTTAAAAGTTGAAAAGTATATTTTTAATTTTTTCTTTTATTTTTCTTTCTTATTTTTTAATCCAAATATCACGTGTCATATGATATATTATTATAATATCACGTGACTTTTTATAATTAAAGAACAAAATGAATAACATACTTCATGAAAAAAAATAAAAATAAAAATTAAATAAAAAAATATTTAAATACCAAAGTGATAATGATGTTAAATTTTATAAGACTAAATACTATATAAATCTTTTAATTTTTATTTTTTTAAATGAAGAATATTTTGATACATTGTAAATGAAAAAAAAAATATTAAACAACGGTAGAATTATGATAAATGCTCTAATAAATTTAAGAACTACAATGGTTATAAGTAACATCATATTTATAGGTAATTTATTTTATTTTTCTATAAAATTCTTTAAGTTTATTTTCTTTAAAATTTTATAAATTTTAAATTAAACGGGTTATTGCGGGCTTCGCGAGTTACCCGCAGTTATACCCATTAAACCCGCGAATTTAACGGTCCGGGCTAAAAAACTCGCAATTTAAACGAGCTTCAATTTTGATGTCCAAAACCCGCACGAATCATAAGTTAAACAGGTAGCCCGCAGGCCTTAACTCATATACCTAACTCTAATACTAAACATGTGATTTACCTAGTACCATATAACTTGTTATTCACCTTTTATATCATGTAAGGTAGCAACATGCCTAAATATTCGTGCTCTTGAAAGACAATTGGGTTGAAACCATTACTTACTGAGTTAGAAAAATCGTTTTCGTTTTTATAACACTTATTTTAATTAATAAATCAACAAATTTGATAAAATGACTAATTAAAAAATAAAAAATAAAAAATACTATATCGAAAGGAGAAAAATTGAATCAAAAATACTTTAAAAGAAAAAGTGGGGAATAATAAATAAAGTAATGGTTCACATATTCACAAAATTCCACTTGGTTTAGTCTTTTTCTTTATATTATTAGAAGGGATGGGCAGATGAACACTCCCTCCCCCCCCCTGCCCAAAAAAATATTTGGGACTGCCTGAGCCTGCAATTGACATTTAAAACACTAAAAGGGAAAAAAAAATTCTTCTCTTGGCTCTCTGTTTATTAACATTGCGAAGAAGGCATATAATACAACGTTAAGGGAGGTTTGTCTCTTCACCATGAATTTTTATTTTCATTTTACCTTTTCCCTGCAAGCTTTTCAACCTCAATGGCAGTTGCAGAAAAAGCATCAGCCAAGATAACACTCGCTTTTACGTTGGTATTTTTCAGAAGAAAAGGAAACAGTTCTCGAATTTTACAGTATTAAGAAAGATGGTGGAGAGGATGAATCACTGCTTACCTGATTTTGAAATGGAAGACGATTATCCAATTCCTTCATCTTCTACTTCAGCTCGCCCTAAGAGACCTTCCATGTAAGCTCATACTTTCGTTTTTTTGCTTAATCTACTATTGGGGGAAATTGTGATTTGATGTACGGATGAAATTGCGAAGCAGACCGGAAGATGGAATCATGGAGCTTTTGTGGGAAAACGGTCAAGTTGTTATGCAGAGCCAAAAAAACCAAACATCTTTCAAGAAGTCTCCGACGTTCAAATTCCAAGGCGCCGGCCAATCAGCTCCTAGAGAGATCAAAGCGTCTTCATTGTCCCATCAGCAGCAACAGCAATCGGTTACCGATCATCTCTTCATGCAAGAAGATGAAATGGCTCCGTGGCTTCAATATCCTCTCAACGACGCCAACTTCGACCACGATTTCGGCGCTGATCTCCTCTATCCTTCCGCCGTGGCCTCCGTTCCTCCGCTCGAAAGAGTTTATCAAGTTCCTGGTTCGGCTGCGGCGACAGCTTCTAGGCCCCCGATGCCGCCTCCAAGTAGGAATGAGTTGGAATCGACAAGGATCCATAACTTTGTTCACTTCTCCAGGCATAAAACGGCGAGGGCGGAGCAATCTCAACCGTCGAATTTGAAGAGCCTAGTGAGGGAACCGACGGTCGTCGATTCCAGCCATACTCCGGCGATGGCTCCCGAATCGGGCTCCTCCCAGGCCATGCCAAGCAAGACCGAGACGGCATCTGGCGGAAACAACAACAATGCCAGCGCCAACATGGGTGCTGCTCCAGTTGCCAACACGAGATCAGCTGGCGTCACCAGGGGTGCCAACAAGGACAATTTAGCCACGTGCAAGGTCAAGGTGACATCACCACCTAAAGGCTACAGTCCCAGCGGACCCAGCCCCGAACCTACGGCTCAAAAGGCGGCCCCGGCTGAGGATCGGAAGCGTAAAGGAAGAGAACCGGGTGAAGCCGAATGTCAGAGCGAGGTTAGTTTTTTTTGGAATTGAAGAGGAAAGAAACAACAAAGTTAACTTTACATCTTGCTTAAGCTAAGCTTGTCATCATCTAGAGCGAGGTTAGTTTATTAGAGTAAAATTGTTTCCTCGCTTCTCCGCTAACGTGCGCCGCAGTTGTTGCGTACTGTTTGATAAATATACACGTGTCATCATTATCGAGTTATGATATGACACCTCTATGACATTAATTGGAGTGGGAAGGGAAGGGAAGGTCAACACGGATTTGATGACGGGAGGGAGAGGATTAAAAAGAAATTAGACAAAAGAGTGGGGGTTTAAATTTAAAATAAGATTATTTTTGGATTAATGGCGCGTATCACGGGACTGGGATTTACCTTCCCCATTTCACCCCTGATTGTCAGTTATCTTTTGGATTGTTTTTGCTCTTGGGATTCTTTTGTTGCTTAAAACATTCTTCAGGGTTTAGCTTAACTTCATTCTGCATTATCAAGGTGTTCAAACTTTTAATTCAGTCAAATTAAATGAGTTAAAATTAAATTAAATTGATTTTTTTTATTCATTAATTAAATTAAAATATTTTTGAAAATTATTAATCCAATTGAACAAAATTGAGCTAAGTCAACCAATTTTCGAATTAACTAAAATTTGTTGTAAATATTTTTTAGTTAGATTAATTTGGTTTAATAAGGTGTTTTTTGTTTGAGTTAAAATTTAATTAGGTCTTAAAAGTTTAATAGGTCCAGTAATAGTTTGGTTGAAAAATAGTTAGGCGTTGATCCTTAATGAATTTGAGATTAAAATATATATTTAATATTTTTCGCTAATTCAGTTAATTAATTGATCTTAAATTAAATTAACCGATAATCAAATTTTTAAAATTTTCTTAAATGTTAATCAATCTAACATTTAATTACTTGATTGATTAATTGAACTAATGTGAAATGTCTTTTAATTTGACAAAAATGTTATTTTTACATCATGTTCTACATGTATATGTTGGGAACTAAAAATGGATTTAATTATAGAAGCATCAACCTTTATTTCTTTTTCTTCTTTATACCAAACTTCCTATCTTGCTTTTTTACTGTTAATTTTATTGTTGACAAAGGATGCTGAGTTTGAATGCGCTGACACAAAGAAGAAACCACGTGGATCCACGTCTACAAAAAGATCTCGTACAGCGGAGGTCCATAACCTCTCAGAAAGGGTTAGATTTCATCAAAACTATAGTACTGTTGATGAATTTGGCATTCATGTGTAATCGCATTCCCTAGTTTAGAGGTGTAATATGCCATTCATGTGCAGAGACGGAGAGATAGGATAAATGAAAAGATGAAGGCTTTGCAAGAACTTATACCTCGTTGCAACAAGGTTTGTCATGAGTATCATCTTCCTTTATATCAGCACTTACCATTGAGGATTTGCTTTTCCTGATTTAGTTATTTCTCTCTCTATCGTTATTAACTTCGCATATTCCCGAGTCTCAGTCAGACAAAGCATCAATGCTGGATGAGGCAATTGAATACCTTAAATCACTTCAGTTGCAAGTTCAGGTAATCGTTTGCTTAATGTTAATGACATGCATTTAGATTATATAGCCTATCAGATGATGTTTGTACTATGAAAAAATGGGTTATGGTCCTTTTGAGGAATCTCGTTTTATAGATTGTAGACAATAAGAGTGACTTTGAGTTAAATGCTAGGGCACTAGGAAGCCCTTAACAGTCTTTTACTCTCTTTTTCATTATTGTTTATGGAACTGTTCAATGTACTCAAGTAATGACCATTGTTTTATATCTTACGGAATGAGCTTGTGGAATATATTTGAGACTAGATTTAACTTTTTTGTAGATGATGACCATGAGCTGTGGCATGGTCCCAATGATGTTTCCCGGTATTCAGCAATACATGCCAACAATGGGAATGGGACTTGGGATGGGCATGGATATGGGAATAAGTAGGCCAATGATGCCGTTTCCCGATGTCTTGGCCGGCTTGGGATTACCAACATCAACTGCTGCAGCACATTTGGGCCCAAGGTTTCCTATGCCACAACCAGTTCCGACTTCAGATCCATCAAGAACCCAACCGAACAACCAGCCAGATGCAATGCTAAACCCGTTCGGCATCCAAAACCCGAACCAGCCACAAGTTCCAAATTTGGCTGGTCCTGATCACCGGTATCTCAGTCTTCAACAGGTGCAAATACTCCCTCCAAATGTAATTTATAATTTTATCATTTCTATAGAAAATCTTCCCCCAATGTGTGATCTAACCAGCTCAATCAGATTGAGATCAGAAACTTTTGATGAGTACGAAGTATTGATTACGAATTTCAACTTTTACAGAGTCAAGCAACGGCCCAGCCAAGTTCCATTAAACCTAGTACCAGCCCGGCTGAGAATTCTTGAAAATCACAAATCAGGTGCGTGCGTTCTTCTATGGTTGTACATTATTAAAAGATGGTTGCTGAAAACATTGTGTAGATGGCAAATGAGAAGACAGCAAATGCCATGAACCCCCTCTAATATACTTCATGATTAGGGTCTGCCTGCATAAGTTTACCAAGTATACAGAACTCGAATTGTACACTGAAATGGTCTAATCATGGATGATTTCTAATAAACTATTTTGGATGTTGATCCAGTGTTTCTTAAGCATCTCTTTTCAATCCACAACATTTTCCTATGAATTGCAGGTTGACAATTATCCATGGACACTATCTGGATAAGGTTTTGGCCTTTCTAAAGTGCTGTAAAGAGAACATTAGCTAACATGTAAATTATTATTCCACCATTGGAAATAATTTCTTTGCGAGTTCTGATTCTCTTTTTTGTCCCCCGCCCCTCCATTTTCACCAGATTTTTATTATGATTGTAATACATAAGGTATATATAGTTATTTTGTTTAGTTTCAGCAGGGATGTAAATATTCAATTAGAAAGTTGCAGAGCATCTTAAAATAAATTGCTTTAGCCTTCAGGTTTCAAACTTGTAGACTCCCCAGCTGTCTTCTGATCCTAAAAAAGATGCAAAGGAGAGAAGGCTCTATGTTCCCTTTACAATTTTTTGTTTTGTTCAGTTTCAGCTTATGTTGAACTTTGCCCCAATTCTCTGAACCTTAAAAAAGGTGAAATGAAGAATGGTCATTGTTGCCATTTTTTGTATTATCTTTTTCAGTGCAACTTGAGGTTTGGGACAATGTTCTCCAATAAAGGCACGCCCACCAATCATCCCTCAACCAAGAGAAGCCGACATCTCCATCAACCAACCAAGAGATGCCGACATCTTCATCCACACGTATCGACATATCCATCCATGGGTATGAACTATAAGCTAAAGAAAATGGGCTCACATTAGGGTATAAAAGAAACAAGACATCACAAGCTACTCGAATTTAATTCGATTAACACTCGATTTGAATGAACTCAACTCAACTTGAATTTTTAACGAGTTAAAACGAACTACTAAATACCCGACTTAAAAAACTCGCAAACAACTCGAAAAAAAATATTAAAATTTTAATAATATAGACATTTATATGCTTTTATAAAAAAATACAATACAAATTTTCATGCATTTATAGCTCAAATTTGGGTTTGTGTTAAAGCTTAAATCAAACTCAAATTTAAACTTAAATCGAACTCAAGTTCAATCAAATTTTAAATTTTTTTCGAGCTCGTGTTAAACTTCAATTTTTAATTTCGAGTTGAACTTAACTTTAAACTTATCAAGTCGAACTCAACAATAATCGGCTCGCTCACGTATTCATTAGGCTAAGCGAATACGTAATAGAGAGAATCTTTTTTTTTTTTGAAAGTATGATAGAGATAACTGAAAGTGTAGGCCAGGATTGTATGGGCAAATCTGAAACATGTCAGAAGATCGCAGATAATGAGACAAAGAAGAAAAGTCTGTGCACAATTTGGAACGTTGACCGACATTCTACGACAAAGAGAACAAAAGGGGTCTATATTCAGTTCATTGTATGACAATGATAGGCCCTACTAGGAGGACTTGAGCCCTATTTTAGCAGGTTGCTGGATTCGGAATGATCATTTTTTACATATTTGAAATATCTTATCTCATAAAGTCTGAGTTTTCACAATGATTGTTAAAAAAACATTCTCATAAACAAACCTGATCTTGATGCAATACAACAGTGTGTTGGAACAGTTAAGGAATGTATGGGGATCTATTGTAACAAGCAAAGGCCATTGCAGACATTTTCATTGAGACATAAACGAACACGAGATGCACAACATGAGAAAAATATGTATAACAGTTGATCAAATACTTATAGAAACATCAACCACTGACCAGGCTCGGACGGCAGGACAAGTTTTTCATATGAACTCGCAACAAAACTTGGACATAACTATGTTGACATCGATGTATTCGGAATGAGAACTTCAGAGGCCTTTGTAAAATACAATGTGGTCATGGATTGATCGCAGATAGGATCTGATAACAAAGAAGACAATGGTAGTTTAACTTTGGATAATACCAAATTCTGATCAGCAACTATCTGCTAATCATATGGAAATCAAACAGGCACACAAGAACATATGAATTTCATTAAAGTAGATGTAGAACTAAAGGATTGCATTAGTAAAATACCTTATCACTGAAAATGCGGAAAACATCCACTCCCATAGCTTTGTCAAGTTCCTAACAAAAAGCAAAACCAGATTTAGTAGGCATGTGAACATCAGCAAAAGGGAATCTCAGTTTTTCAAGTAGGAAGAACAGAACTGACATTCAATGCGTCTGGGGAGCTATCAATATTAGATATGAGTTTTTGAAGATGTTCATCCTTCAAGGCTTCACGGACTTCATCAGAAGAAGCTGCATGACGAACATGGTAGATTTAAACAGTTGTGTGAAGGGATTTAATCAGTTTTCGCCTCAAGGCAGTTTTATCTAAAGGTTTTCTGGCTCTAAGATAATATAGATCAAGAAAACATTTGATTATACAAATAGTCATCTTAAGCTGGATCTCATTCAAGCTTCTACAGTACATATAAATCAGGGGCAGAACGAAACCTAGAGAATCAATTAGCTGACGTGGATAAACTTTTTGGGGCCAGGTGTAAAAACTTCATGCAAGCCAAATCTAGCTAAAAGCAACGTACTCGGCCTACTATAAAACGCAATAATTATTCTACTAAAGTCTACCACAATGCCTTTGGCACATCCTTTTAATGCATTATGACCATTGAATCATCTATAATTACCATTAAAAATTTGAAATTGCTAAGAGATTTCAGTATTTCTCCCATGAATATGTTGAATTCTTATAGAAAACGCATTTTCTAAAGGAAATTTCAAACTGTTCAGCCTTTTTCATGTTCTTATATTTCCATGTTAATTACTAACATTATGACAAAGCTTTCCATCATACTTTTTGAATTTTACTGCACTTGAAGATCTTAATTGTGTTTGCAACTATCAACATGCTAGCACATAAACTATTATAAGGAGTGGAAATTTTTTCCAAACATTTTACCAATCACTGTAATGGAGTTTTCATTAAAATACATGAGCTAGGATTAGATTATTAAAAAAAATACCAATAGCCTGCATCTGCATTATTTGTAGCACTTCACTTGGGTCATCAACTTCTAGTTTTCTTTCCACCTGAAATCCTGGATTAACACCTAATAGATACGAAACAAACAACAATAGAACATTTGAGCTTTTGAAGGTTCCAGGAAAAGAAAAGGAGGGCTTGAATAAGTTGTTTGAGTTGGGATGATCTCCAAAAATTCATTGAAAATTTAGACATTGTAACATTTCAAGCAAGCAAACGTAAATCATGTTTCCTTTGCCCAGCCTTTAAAACCATAAAAGTACTCCCTTGCATGTATATAACAAAAAGCATTTGGTTTTAAAAGCAATGGTAGCTTTCATTGATGAGAAGTCTTGATGAAGATTCTTAAGGAATGTTAATAGATATTGAAGTTCATAATATAGCACACTTGAACAAGGTTCAAACATTATAGCAGACAATTCACTAGGATAATGATTCATCAAAAGATGGTTATATAATTATATTTACCAAATACAGTGTTTGAATTTATATACTATGGAATTAAATCATTCAAAAACAAGCAATTGATGAACAGAGTGCTTACTGGATCTTCCTTCAGATAATTCTGGCTTGACACTGGGGATCACCGCATCATTAGTGGACTCCGGCTTCACACTAGTTGTTACAACATCATTAACAGACGCTGAGTTCACATTAGGGGTTCCTGCAGTATTCAGACGCAACAGTTTTAAATTAGATCACTCTGGGACGACAGAGAAACGGCCAACTTCAGCTAGAAACCATCATTTTTTTATGCTGGCTTCCAGAAATAGACTCCTTAGCTAAGTTATTCTCTGGTTAAAGTAAACCCAACTTGAGTTGAAATACATATCAGTTATATTCGCAGTTGATTTCCAGTTACTTAAACCTCAGTATGGATTACTGAACAGACAAAAAGAGGAGTGCTGATGTTATATATTAGTACAGCAAAAGAGAAATCCTAAATTTATCACAAGAAAAGCAACCCCAAGGCCACAACCTCGGTATGAAATAACTTTTTACCTCTCAGAATGTACCAATCTATAAAAAAGATATTTTAGGAACATCAAATACATTAAAAGCACGAGCATCATTAAAGAGAAAAAAAGAAGCATGGTATTGACCGAGAAACATGAGTTGAGGCAAAGTTCTCACCAGATTTTTCTTGTGTGGACTCCGGCTTCACACAGGGGGTTTCTGCATCATTCATAAAAGATATCAGCTCCCATTTCTAATATCACAGGTGACAATGCCAACTTATGACATCAGCTCCAGGATGCTAGTAGGTTAAAAGGACAATAAACCCAAAAATTTCCTTATAATCTTTGTGTACAAAACTTGACCGTAAACCATTGGTTCAGTTCTTTAAGGCAACACATATTCAACTTCACCAAAATGTTTCCTTGCTGTTGCTAAAGAAAAAAGTATAACGTATGCGAAGCTAATCTATTTACATAATACAAGATGATGAGAAAGCATTAACCCAAGAAACACCCGTAATGTAAAGCAAATGGATGAAGCAAAGTTCAAATATTTATCAACATACGTGAAGAAAAGATCGAATCGAATTATGGAGGGAGGAGAAAAGAGAAGAAATTGTGGGTATCATACCTTTATGTGTCTTGAAACATGCCAGAGAACAACTAAAAAATGGAAAGTGTAAAATAAACAAATACAGCCACAAATGAAAACAGTTAAAAGAAGAGGAAACGGAAGGGAACTGAAGAACTTACTACGGAACAAGACAAGAGGGACACTTGTACTTAGACTGAGCTTGGTTGCAAACTTGACACTGCCTTGAAGAACCACCCATTTTTATTTTTCCCCTCTTCCCTAAATAACAAAGCGCGGAACCCTTAATTAACGCAAAAGAGAATAGTAGCACAGTTATTGATTGGAGAAGGAAGAAAGGAAAGAGGATTGCGGAGCTGAGACGACTGCCTCGACTGTCAGTTCTGCTTTCTTCTTCTCTCCAAATATCTAAGATTTTTCTTAGTAATGTAGAAGCGTTGTAGATCGACTCAAGTGCGGCCGTGCTCAGGATTCAACTATTGGAGAAAATAATTGAAAAGGAATTTTGTTTTTATTATGTTCTTTTTTTCCCCTTCTTGAAAACCTCTGGAAATTTTTAGAGTTTTACAGTTTCGTAGTTGCAATAAAAATTGGAGGTCTTCGATTAAAGTTTTAATTGAAAATGGATTGTTTAAATGTTTTTAATTAAATTCTTTAAATTTTATTTTAAAAAATTAAATCAAATTAAAACAAAATTAATTTTTAAAATCAAATCCAATTCTACATACATCTATCAATTTTTATAAAAAGAAAAAAGTAGTATGTCCACTAATATAACATTTACTACCAATAAACTACTAATTAATATTGAAATTTGAAGAGAAATTAATTGATGAAATGTTGAAGAATATTTATATTATCTATTTTTTTATGAATTCAAACTCTGATAATATATTTTTTATTTAATAAAAATATTGAAACAAAGAGAATATCGAAAATGATTGTTTTTTTTAAAGAGGGTACTTTGTATTAAGATGAATAACAAAGTACACCACTTCAAGGACCTCATTAAAAAACATCCCTAATCCTAAATGGAGAAAAAATAGAAAAAAAAGTGTATGTTGTGGTGGTAAAACAAACACACATAACATTGTAACATCATTTGGGCCAAATCTACGGCCAACCACAAACTCTTAACCAACACAGATAACCAACAGAAAGAATAGATTACACACTAAGAAATATACTCCTACAGCAAACTAGAAGAAAGCCTTAGCATCAGAACGAAACAACACCGACGCCCTGAGCTTGTTCAGAGGCACACCACTTAGAAATAGATATACACTTGCAGAAGGCTCGGACAAGGACCGGAACACACTACCATGGATCGAGAACTTCTCAATACTGACCATCATGCCCAAACAGAAAACCACACACTTTAGATCCCAAAAAAAGAGAACACCAAACACACGAACACCCTAATCCAAATAGCTCCAAATTAAACACCCAAAAAAACACGAAGAAACTCCAACCCGAAATCCATCAACTTTCCTCAAAACGCATAAACTATACTATAATAAATGGAACTTCTAAAAACCTAAAGCTACTGAAAACAGACACGGGCTAGCCAATATGGGATGTCTCTCTCGAAAATGATTGTTGAGAACAGTAATTATTCTTAATATCATAAAATATAAATAATAAAACAAATATAGAAGATAAAAAAAATCATTAAATTTTATTTTAATCGATACGTGCCATTCTACTTTCGTGATATGGAAAAATTTCGGCTACACACTTATATCAGTGAAAAAATATGAAATGTGCGACTAAACTATAATAATCTTGTTGAATTTTACAACCAACTAAATTTTTAATTAAAATTTTCAATTCTATATTGATTTGTGATGATTTCAAGAAAAGGTAATAATAAAAAAAAAGTTATTCCAAAATTATTTTTTAATAATTAATAATATAATACTTTTATAAAATATTTAAAGTTAATAAAATAAATTAACATAAACTTTTGGATAATATTTGAAAAAATAATTTTTATTAATTTGTATTGTTAATTATTAATTTTTTAAAATTATTTACTGAAATAACAATCATCTTAACCAAATACTCCTTTTCTTTATTCTCACTCCAGGCTGAGATATTATTGGTATATTAAAAAGGAAAGCACGCTTAAAGCAGAAACAAGTCTTCTTGTAAATGTCTTAAAGGTTTATAACATTTGTAGGCTTCAAATTGCTAAAAAAGAAGAAAAGATAGAATCCAGAATTACAAAAGTAAATATGACTTAAACCAAACCACAAGTTGTTCTACATATAAAGTCCTTCTGGAACCCCTTCTTTCTTTTTAAACATCACCTTTTCCTTGGCCTTCTTAAAGTCTGCATGTGTCACCTGAAACAATGCATCTTTTAAAATCAAACGCTTCACAAACAAACTTACTTTATATGATATATAGGAGATCCCTTCACTGCTTTTGCATCTATATTCTCACTGTATATTATAAGTAGGTTACCGATATGAGAGTGAAGCATTCAACTTGCAGGAAGGGAATTCAATACAGTTTCTTAATGACCTTTGTAGCTTGCAGTGCCAAAAGTTTTGACAATATAGTTTACATTTTTTTTTCTCACTCAAATATAGCTTTCAGCATCTATTTCTTCTAGTGTAACAGAATATTTCCGTAATGAATTCTTTTTCCCTCTCACTAATAATGAATATATAGCATTATTTCCGAGCATCATACGGAAAAAACTATAAGAGATAGCAGGATTAGATGCATGAATGTATGCATGGCAATTTGCAAAAGATTTGCAATTATACATGCTTATCGAGAATGTAACCTTGTGTTGAACTTGTATGGGGTTGTAAATCTATTAATCTGGTTTCAGTTCTATTACCTATGGATCAAATGTGCAATTTTGTATATTTATGCTTAATATTTTAGATAATAGACCTGCATATATTATAAGAAAAGAGGGGCAAGCACTTTCTTTATTATGAATTTAACAAGTCTAACCTTCATGCGTCGCTCTCTTAAAGCAAGCAAACCAGCCTCAGTACAAATTGCCTTTATATCAGCTCCAGAGAACTCATCTTTAGTCATCACAAATTCTTCCAAGTTCACATCATCAGCCAATGTCATCTTTGATGTGTGTATCTGTGGTCCAAAGATTAGAAAGAACAAAACTTTATGGTACACGAGAATAATGAAACATATTTGATACAGAGAATCAACACTATCATGAGATAATCACATACCTGGAAAATGCGCCTCCTTGTTTTGATGTCGGGTAGAGGGAATTCAATCTTCCTATCAATTCGACCAGGACGAAGCAAAGCCGGATCAAGACTTTCAATTCGATTTGTGGCAAGAATCACTTTGACATCTCCTCTTGAATCGAAGCCATCTAATTGGTTCAGCAACTCCAACATGGTCCTCTGAATTTCACGTTCACCACCAGAATGTGCATCATACCTGTACGACAGATTGATGTGAAAGATACCAAGTGTATATCCATCAAGGCATAACTGTTACACCAACTTACCTCTTAGTACCAACTGCATCGATTTCATCAATGAAGACAATAGAAGGGGAAAGGTCATCGGCAACTCTGAAGAGTTCCCTAACTAACTTGGGACCATCTCCCAAGTACTTTTGAATTAATTCACTGCCAACGACACGTAAGAAAGTTGCTGATGTAGAATTAGCCACAGCCTGAAAGAAAATAAATTGACATGACAAAATCAGATCTAACTTTATACAACAAAAGATCCATATAAGTGATGTAAGAGTGTAAATTTTGAACACAATATATGATCAAAATAAATAACATTTTCATAGTGCATCCGAAATCTTCAAGTTCGTGTCTCCATGCTGTTCCTCTGCTCTGACTTTTGGAAGCTTATCATGCCCAAAACATCACACTTATGTCTATACTCTAGACATAACATGTTCAATCTCTTAATAAAAAAAGAGATAAATTTAAAACGGAGGGGTAGGGATAGCACACAGATTCAATGAATAATTACTAAAGACAGCTGTGCATTGAAAGGGAATAAAAAATAAAAACATTTACAGCTAGAAATTGAAGACGTTAAGATGCACCTTTGCAAGCAAGGTCTTGCCCGTCCCAGGCTCCCCATACAAGATAACTCCTTTTGGAGGCTTTATACCAATGTCCTCATATAGTTCAGGATGGGTAAGAGGGAGCTCAACTGCCTCTTTAATCTCCTGTATCTGAGCATCCAAACCTCCAATATCGGCATAAGATTCCAAAGGAGCCTTTTCAACCTTCATCACTGATACCATGGGATCTACATCATCTTGCAGAAGTCCAACAACAGAAAGAACCTGAGTACAATATCCATTGCATAAATTCAGGTAAGAAAAAATGGATGCAAAACCCTCAAATAAAAGATTTGTATACTAGTATTTTGGACCAGCACTCTGAGATGTTACATCCCATGCTTGAGCTCGTTGAACCCATTTAAGAATAAAACAAGTAACCAAAATTTCATCTTTCTAAAGCTCGTGAATTTATCTAAAGTAATAATGCATAACAAAAACCCAGTTATCAATTTCCCAAGAATTCTCTCACATAAGATATTAACCCAATCATCATTCTAAATTGCAGCACTGATCCTAAATTTTATATATATACCACAATAGATCAGTGTCCTTTCAGATGAAATAATACTTCAGTTTATTTTCCTTTAACAATCTCAGATCAGAAACCCTAAAACTAAAACTAAAAATAAAAAATAAACAAAAAAAACCCAGTAAGCTTAAGGCTTTAATTTACCTTATTGTGCATCAAAATAGCACATCCAGGCTCCAACTGATCCTTATCCACAAAAGATAAAATCCCAACATAATACTCCGGCCCAACTGACGACGAAACAATCGCATGATTCTCATCGATCAGCTCCTCCAAATTACCCACGCTCATGGGTGATCCTCTCAAATCGTCGACTTTAGATCTATCTTCCTCGGCTTTCTCTTCCTGCGGCTTGAGCCGTTCCTGATTAGCAACGAACTCTTCTTCCATAAGCAAATAGTCCTTGACCCGCTCCAGTTTCAACAGCCGGAGCTTACACTTAGTATGCGGCGTCACAGTCGGGATACGAGCCGCCGCTTCGGGTCCTTTCTGTTTTCGTTGCTTGCGACCCACCCTGGCTGGGGGTGCCGCCGGCTCAAATTTCTTCTCCTTCTTATCAGAGCCATCCTGTTTTCGGTCCCCAGGAAAGCCTTGTCGATTCAGACCGCCGGGTGTTCCTTGACCCATGATTTAGGGTTACTTCGAACAAGATTTCGATTATTTTTTGTGGTTGAAATGATGGGGTTTCTTTTAAAACAGAGAAAGGGTTCTTATTTATTAATTATTGACTTAATGAACAGTTTGGTCCTAAACATATAGAGAACTTTCATTTTGGTC